TCTCCACTGCCAGTGAAGACAGCTAATGAATCAGGGGAGAAGAACTCCATCTTTCCTGCGACATCCAAGACGTTTCCTGCATGTTAAACTTATTACTGTACTTAAATCCAACCGCAGAAATTCATCAGCCACGACTGAATCCCTTCAAATCTTAATTTTACTTTCCACACGTCTCATTTGCAAAACAATGAAAACCTCATTTTGTTGTTCAAGTAAAAAAAGGCGCATTTACAATGGCTGATTCTCCCAATGACAAGACTCGTCCCTCTTTAAAAACAAAACTCGTACGTTCACAGAAAATCATACAATTATCTCCAACAGAGGCAGATATTCCTGAGGATTCCGAACCACCACCGCCATCTCGAGACAATGCGCCTCCTCCTCCTCCTCCTCGCAGTCATACCCCGGGTCATCTATCAACTAAGAGTCAAGATAGGCGGAAGCAGAAATCTGATCTAGCTTTGCGCCAGAGATCACAGTCATTATCGCAAAAGGAATCCTCAACTTCATCCATCAAAACAACGACCGAGAAACCACCCTCGCTACATCATGTTAGCAGTACACCAATTCCCTCGGAGAAACTTTTGTCGCCATCCGACGATAGTAACCCAGTACCGCAGCTTCCCAAAGATGATACGCCTAAACCCATTAATCTTCGTTCCACATCTGCCATAACACCAAAACTGCCTTCCTCCACAAATTCGTCTTCGCCTGTACCGCCCGCACAGCGTCCGCCTCGTGGGCTTTCTATTCCGTATCCTCCATTGCCAGATCCTAAACTGGCACCCAACGTTCTTCCTGCGCCAGCATCGGGAATGTACTGGTCTCGCGCCCCTGTCTCGGGTTCGTCCCATACGTCTTTGCGGGCACACACAACCACACTTATTGGTTCCAACATCTACGTTTTTGGCGGATGTGATGCACGTTCATGTTTCAATGAATTATATGTCTTGGATGCCGATGCTTTTTACTGGTCTACACCTTTTGTGTGCGGAGATATACCTGCTCCTTTACGAGCAATGACGTGTACAGCTGTGGGAAAGAAGCTGATAGTGTTTGGTGGTGGGGATGGACCTGCATACTACAACGACATATATGTACTCGACACATTAAATTTTCGGTGGTCAAAACCGCGGATATCTGGGGAGAAGATACCAAGCAAACGAAGAGCTCACACGGCATGTTTATATAAGAATGGAATATATGTTTTTGGTGGCGGAGACGGGGTGCGGGCATTGAACGACGTGTGGAGGCTAGACGTTGCGGATACGAACAAAATGTCTTGGAAACTCGTTTCTGCTCCGACGCCATCATCTGTCGACGATAGAACTAAACCAAAAGCTCGCGGGTATCACACAGCAAATATTGTTGGATCTAAGCTTATTATATTTGGCGGATCAGATGGTGGGGAATGTTTCCGAGATGTATGGGTATTCGATATTGAGACGTCGACTTTCTCTCCGGTCAATATTTCGCTTTCATATCCGCGATTAAGTCATACTGCTACTATTGTAGGAAGTTATCTGTTTGTAATAGGTGGGCACGATGGCGTTGAATACTCAAATGAAGTGCTACTCCTAAATCTTGTCACCATGGCTTGGGATAAGCGAAAAGTCTACGGAGAGCCCATCAAAGCTCGCGGCTATCATGGAACAGTACTTCATGATAGCAGGCTCATGGTAATAGGAGGCTTTGACGGGGGAGATGTGTTCGGAGATGTATGGTTATTAGAGCTGGCGGTGCATGCATATTATAGTCAAATTAGTCATTTTAGCATCGATGTTTAGCGATAGAGTTGGAAAGGGGGAGCGGAAAGGAAAAGGTGTTTGTGGTTTTGTCTTTATCTTGCGAGCGTACGAACGATGTGATGAAATCCGTATGATTAATATAATACCATGATTATCGATTATTAGTTTCTCTCCCTTGAAAATGCCAAGTGGTATTTATCTATGCTTCAAAAGATTTTTAAAGTGGACAATTTTCTCGAATCCTGATTCCTTAGCCTCAAAATAATGTTTGCGCAATATCTGGAGTTACACATAAACTAATCTGTTTGAAGCCTTCTAAGCAATCTAAATGTTTTGATGGAGGAGAAAGTATGCAGGTCGCCATATTCCGGTCAGATCAAAATTTTCAAACGTCCTTCCGAAACCTTGTAGACAATTGAAATGGTGATATAATTAAGGAGACACGATGCAGTTTGCCAGATTCCTGCCAAATGAAAGACTTTAGACGTATATTTGGTCGGAATCTATTACCTTGATACTACTGTTGCATATTTCATTGTGTACGCCTGTTTCGCAAAGCCTTCTGGAGTGCTTTTTGGATAGAAGGTACGCAGCTGACTAATTTTTCCTGGAGCCTAAAGAGAGCAGCCTTGCAAGGCTTCATTAAAATTTCAATACAAGCACGAGTTTACATTTGTTTCCTGCTTTTTTCCATCGTCTATTCAGATACCACTCCTAGCCTCTCTTCGAAATACTCCCAAAGAAACCTGAGCTATTGAGAAGGGCTATCCTGAAATTGGTTCCCGGCATTGAAGTCAGTATCTGTGTTGATAATGAACCGCTATTCGAACATACCGATCGGAACGCGAAGTTCGAGCGGAGTACCATCTTGAGATATGTCGAGGTGGTTCCGGAAAAGGAGTTCACGAACAGATTCATTACTGATAAAAGCTATAAATGGACTAGTCCGTACATTGTTCTGGATATGATGGTTGACGGTGTAGAAATCAGAACCCTTCCTTTCGGTCGTCAGGAGTTTGAGTAAGAGTCCCAGGCGTCTTCTTCACACGTTCACAAGTGTATTGGGTTTTACGGGTCGAAAATGAACAGGAGGTAGTTAGCTCTTTCGAATTCTCAAAGTTATCGGTGTGTAAGCAATTCTTCCGATACCTCATATTGATATATCCCTTGCTGAAAACGTCAAAAGCTCACAGCGAGGTTGAGACGAAATCGAGGATGATGTATCGCGCTTCAAAAAGACGGGTGAAGTAAAAGTCGGCTTTTACCAGGCAAAGTCTGTCAAAAAGCTATCTGTAACCCAAGCGCGCAAGTATTGTCCGACCTTTTGGAAGCAGCCCAAGTTGAACGTTCACTTGATCAGAGATGTTCATTGGGATGCGATCAGTGGACATTTGGAAAGTCAGTCTCGAATTGCAATGCTAGTATTCGCGTGAACAGTGTTCTGGATTTTATTGCTAAGAATTAGTCAGTCTGGGACCTGCTAAACCGGCTGTTGACGATCCATGTATTAGGACTGTGTATGACGTGGAATACATGGATTTCGATCGATCTGGGGTTGTTAAACCTCAGGGATTCTTCAAGTTGGGGTGTCGATCTAAAGGTACAGTCTTTCTCTATGACTCTTCCACAAATATTTCATAAGTGATTGATTCCTAAAATCTCGTAGAATCTCTCAAGTTACTTCTCGTTGTCCGCTGAGACAATGCAACAATCAAGAGGGAGCCTATGATCAAGATCGAAGGCGACGACGAAGACATGGCCGAATCGATCATCAAGCGAGAACGCGATGGAGATTCGGTCGAGTCATCTATGTCTGCTATCAAAAGGGCTCGATCGAGAAGAAATAAAAGGTAGTCAATACATAGCGATCAGTCATATAAAGATGTGAGAACTGTGGAATATGAAAGCTTAGCGGTGACTCTACCTCGTTTTCTGTTCTTTAAGTAGGATCCCCTTTGAGGAAGGGCTATACATACGTACCAGAACAAGATACCTATTGCTTAAGCATTATCCATCTCATTTGAACTCGATTTTTCATCTAGCAATAACAAACCTTTCTCAACACACCGGAAGAGGTCCACCTATAATCCTCATTCCTATCCACATTCCCCCGTTACATAATATCAGATGTAAATCCGCCCTATATAGCCCCCAAAGAATTAAACGAGACATCAATCAAACGAAACCCGGATTAAAATCATCTCGATCTACAAGCTAATCCGAATCAATATTGATTAAAGTAAACATGGAATTTGACCTTCATACAACACATCTCAGAATATCAAATTACAAATCAAGATTCCATAGATATCGAAACATATCAGTCTTCGTTTCCCTGCGAGACTTTGTCAAGTATTTCGATGTGCGAATACGCTTTAGATACCTAGGTGTGCTTGTAGGCTTTTTCAGGGGTAATGGCCGTGCACAGTGAGATGTCTCGTTTATTGTTGCTTCTTGACCAACGAATGTTAATGTTATGCTACTAGGTAGACATTTGAATCGGAAATATCAACAAGAATACACATACTCTTGGATAAATCACCTATGATCATAAGACATTATTAACGTTCATGTTTAAAATTGGATCATATGAAAAGAATATCATTTGATTTCCTGTCGACCAAATAGCAATCTTACTACGAGAGCCTTATGAGACCCTCGCATGAATAAGATTGATTAAATGGATACTTTCTATCTACTATCACAGATAATAATACCTGGTAAGCTCCACCGCCAAAGTTCTTGATTGAATCTCACCCCCCCTCCACCCCCCCCTTGCCCCAGTTCTTCATTAAATCCCACCACAAAAAGTATATCTTTACCCCATCCTTGAAAATCTTCAAACTCCTCGCTGAAAGACACAATGCATGAGTTCCAGTTCTATGTCAACCCCAAATATATTATGAAATGATACTCTTCCAAGCACCATATTATCCAACCATACTATCCAATTATATCCCGAATAAATTCCTCTTGCTGTAATAATATCCTCAATTCTATCCATGATACCCAAACCCGATCGAAATATCTATCTATATGCTCTTCTTTCATATCCCCCGATTGTAATAATATTTGACACAACCAATGTAATGGATGGCACTGGTCATACTGCGTACCCATCAAGTTTAATCCCACCAAGAGTTTCTAGTGGAACGAAATGGTAGTAGCACTGCAAATGAAAATGAATATGCGAACTTCGTAACTTCGATAAGAGAAGTAGGATTCGTAACGCTTCGCATGTTGATCAGTCTCTCACATCTGATCAATCAAATAAACATGGTCTGCTTGAATAACCTCATCTGATATCTCATGAAAACTCGTGCTCAGCTCGTAGTATATATCATCAAAATGGTCCGAAAGGCCTAGGAAGTCTTCCTCGCTGAGAGAATCTTCTGTGCCATTGGAATTTCTGGATGCAGGGCCATCTTCTTGATGAGGAAATATCTCAACTGACTCGTAAAGGATTTCTTGCGACTTCAAGTTTGGCATTCTATGTGGCGAGTCATTGACTCTGGTGTTTGTTGAATGATCCAAATCGGCGGTCAAGTTCGTAGAGATGGGAGATGACTCAGCTTCATCTGAACTGTGTGCAGCCGAGCCAACCCCAGCAACTACAACAGCGCCTGGAGTGATGTCGAGAGCAATAGCAGAGGAATCAATCGGACTACCGCTTGAAGCAGCAATAAAAAATTCTTGAGTGTCGTCTGTTTGTGGTTCAGACAATCCCTGCTCATATCTTGCATTTTGGCCATTGGACTTTGGTTGTCTAGAGCAAACATTATCCTCGCTATTGTGCTTTTTCTTTTGCCTCTCACAGTACCCATCAAAATTGATATCGGATATCTCGGCCTCGTCAATGCTTCTTTTCTTTCCTTTTTCTGCGCTGATAGACTGTTGTGGTTCTTGAGACATGAATCTAGCCTGATGGGAAAAACCCCCTTGGTTTTCAAGGTCGTTTGACTTGGATTGGTTGTCAAGAGACTCAATAAAACCATTACTTGATCCACTCATGTCACTAGGACTACTGAATATGGATTTTGCAAGACCAAGGGATGAAAAGTTGGCGAAGTTGGAATCATTCATTGTGGCTTGTGAGAGACCGTGAGGTCTTTGAGGCATAATTTCCATACCGTCAAAATCAATGTTTGATGATGGGAAGGGATATTCGATACTGTATTGCTGTTGTGGAGAGTACTGATTATACGGTAATCCAGTTTGCGACGATGTTTCCCCATCGAAGTGTTGATTTTGTGGCATCATGCCTGCATTGAACTGGCCATACGAAGGTGTATCATATGGATAAGAAGAACTTCCAACATCAGCCGGACCTGTTGGCATTGGCATTCCATTTATACCCAGGCCCGGTAAGCCTTGTGCATAGTTTTCGTAATTTGTTGCGTATGACGGATCCATAGGCATTGCATGGCCGTAAAACTGAATTTGGGCTGTGTCTGGGCCCATTTGATTGCCATAACTTTGATACATACTACCTGATGATGTATGTTGCGAATTCCCCGGGATGCTACCGCCATTCTGCATGTAAGCATCCATTCCCTGGACGTTGCCCATTGTTTGTCTCCTTGAAGATGAATTTTCGGCACCAAGATACCACAATGGATTTGATCTAGTCGTTGCAGAGTGTACCTGTCTAGGCTGTTGTTGGTGACTTCCAGTTCCAAGTGAACCTCTTCCATGTTGTTGATGTTGTTGGTTGGTAGTTGCTGGCAGAAAACTGTGTTGAAGTTAGCTCATTCCGTGGACTCGGTTCATCAAGAGAGCACATACTTATTTTCATGACCTCGTCCATATGACTTATCGAATGGTCCATTTGCACTCATGCTCATGGTTTGAAGTCTGTTCGGATTGAATTGACGAGCTTCACTCCTGTTCCAATTACCGCTTCTTCTAGGTTGTGACTGAGTGAGAGGACTGCTCATTGACATTGGTGACATCGTATTCGCACTAGTATTACTAGAGCTTCTTGAGTGGCTTCGTCTTTGGGAAGCCGTAGTGCCATCCCGCGAATTATCGAGCATGTTTTCAATTGTGCTGTCTTGAGCTTGGGAAATTGAACCGCGTAGTCGCTCAATTATTTCTAGAACTTCTGGAGAGGGTTGTGCCCTAAGAAATTAGAGGATGTACTTGTGAAAGTGAATTGATAAGGACTTACTCCGGTTTCTGAGTACGAGCATATCTAACGCTCGCTGCATTTGGTGCATGTCGCAAATCCTTAACATTTTCTTGCAAAGAAGTCCAATTGCTTCATCTGTGAAGAATCTGCCTGGTTTAATTTTTTTGGCGGAAGACGGGGAAAGGATTTTGGATGCCAGGAGAACAAACCAAATCCCGTCATCAGTCCATGTTTTCACACCTACCATCTTGCCAGTTGATGAGCAATAATGTTTGAATTTAAAGGGAAAGTTTCAAATCGTGAAATATAGACGTATCTGCTCCCTTGCTAAATAGTAAAGGGCTGTCCAGGGTAGATTAGCGCATGTCCTGGACAATTGTAAATAGGCAACAAATATTGTAATATCTCTTTTTTCTTCCGGGGCATGATATCTCTAGTCGACTTACCACTGCTTTGATAGGTACTGTAGGATTAGGTTATGAGTATCCGTTTGTTGTCGTCGCTGCTCCCAATCTTGTGAATCCTCTCGAGATAGAAAGGGTAATGATGATAATATTATGAGTTGACGGGAGCTCAGTGAAAGCTAGGTCTGTATGCGATATATTTCCTCTTGTCTGCTCTGAACACTCTAGATGTTAGATAATCCTTCAAGCCAGACGTTTTGTGCCGAGGAAGTCTGTGGTTGGTATTAGGTCCTCGTCAAAAATATTTTGAAGAATGCTTGACAAAGTGAATTTGATCTCGAGTTTCCAAAGATAATGTTAGGGATCGAAGAGGTGTACTGTATGTGATAATATTGATTGTAAAGATGAAAGCGAAGGCTTTCGAAATTTCGATTCGGTGTGGTTTAAATATGAGGAGATGATGGAAGAAACAGAATTCGTGGGACATTCACAGCAATAGCTGTAACCGAAAACCAATTTTTGTGGATTATTCAAATATTGAATACTTAAAAACCGAGAAAAGATAAATGATGATTCCAATATCGTGGAATGTAATAGTGATTGTAAATTTTTGAATATGATGTTTTCCGGACTCTGCGAAACCGAAGTCGGGGGCGTAGAACACTTTGAGATGTCGATTAGGGCGATGGCAGTCGCGGTTTCCTCCTTTATTTTTTGCTACCTAGCTGAGAAACTTTTCGAAAGGTCAGACGAAAGTTGTAGTTTTTTGGATCCAGGAAAGAGGAGGGGTTATGATAGAAGACTCCAGGTCGTAAATACCGGATTTCTTGATGCCTTGATAGGGGGTTTGATGTATAATCATTGGTTTGGGCGAGCGCGTCAAAATAATAGATGATAATATCTAAAAGATGAGCAAGAAATGTATGATATAAGAAATCAAAGTAGGATACTCGGCGTCTAATAACGGGAGTTAATGTGGAAGGGATTTCGCAAGAGTTCTGAGGCCACAAGAAGTAGACCTTCCCAGCTTATGGGAATATACCCAAGAGTTAGAAAGGAAGTTGAGGTTTGGGGCGTTGATGGATAAGAAAGTAGAGAGTAAAGAAAGAGTTTGTCATGGAATATCTTCTTTGCTTAAATATAAAAGAAGTGAATTATTCTACTGAAACTAGAACCAGTAGATGATCTAAAATTTCAATTCACCCACACCTAGTTCGGATAACCTCTTATTTTGAAACTCTCAAGTTCGGAGTTGAAAGATGATGTTGGTGAAATTGGAGGCTTCGATGATGGTTAGATTGGGTGAATTGGCATGCATCATGATTCGTGGGCGCTGAGGTACTCTTTTTGCCTTTCTGTATGATGCCGTACATTCTCATCTTCATTTTTGAACTGGCAATACAAAAAATAGTTCCATCTTCCATCGTCTATCAAGTAAAGAACAAGAACTGATGCCCCGAACGCTTCCATCATAAAATAGTACGTGAAATCATGGGGCTATATATCAGTCGACAGTGATAGGGAGATCTGCTAAAAATAGGCATACAATCCATCTATGAATACAGAACGCATATCTGAATATCGAGAACAAGAATTTGAGGGAGAGGTGGCTGGATGGAATAAACTTTGAATCAATCTACAAAGCACATTGATTGTGCATGATTTTGCCATCATCATGCCAACCACATGACTTTTGCTTTGCTACGATAAGATTCACAATTCATCTCATTTACACAGAAGTTGAGGACATTAACAACTCGATGTAAATGAAATCATAAGCATATAGCTGTAGATGCCGCTACATCGTGCTTCCAAATGCCCCACCAACAGTGTACGCCATCATCATCGTCGTCCCGTTCTGGATCCTCCCAATCATCGAAGCAGCGTTCTTTACCACTAGCCACTAATTGGTATCCTTGAATGGACATCAGTTCCTCAAAGTTATTCTTCATCTCCTTTGTTGAATTGTCTCTTAGCGGTACTGATACCAACACACGACTATCCTCACTATTCTTGAGGAGTTTCGGGATTACTCCAGCAAGAAGATGAGGGTGATGAGAATCATAAAAGGGATCGGCAACAAGAATTATCTATGAATATGATTAGATATTTGAATCATAGAAGGGAGAATATGTAAAGGATACTTATCGTACCTCAAACTTATCATTTGGGTTTTGGCTGAACACCTCGGAGTGTTCTGCATCACTCCAATCTAGGATTGCTGCACTGGCTTTATCTTCAGAAGTATGGCCAAAACCATTCTTCTTGAGATTAACATTCAGGTTTGGAACAATGTCAGGAAGATCAGTCAAGACGGTGGTCTTGTTCCAGAGCATAGTTGCCGTCAATCCAAGAAGTCCAGTACCAGCACCAAGCTCTAGAATTTTCCCTTCATTATAGACATGCTGCCTCGAGAAGTCTCCTCGATGCATCACATCCCTTTCCACGCTCGACTCACTAGCCAACATAGTATCTCCTACTATCACGCCATTACCATTCATTCTCGTGGTGCCGTTCAATGCTTCGTCGCACCCCATGGTCAATTGAATCTCTACTGTTGACTCACTTTCCACAGTTTGGCCATTTTTTGAAGTTGCAACCTCTCGCTCAGTCAAATCACTGTTGGAAAGTACACCGCTAAAATAGAGGTTTCCTAGCTCCTCCAACTTCTTGGCCATTACGAAGGAAGTACCCCATGTTTTGAGACCCAAACTATCACCAGTGAGTGGAGGCTCACACAGTTCAATGGCGAGGTCTTCTGAATCTCCAGATGTTGGAATGATCCAAGTACGGATCATCTGTGGCATTGCTGCATTTCGTTAGATGATTTCTTGATTGTGGTGCAAATCCTCAGTTCAAGTGTCCAAGAAATCAGATGTCTTACCTGAGCGTCCACAACGTTCAGCCAGTCTCTTACTAGCAAGCTCATGGATAGTTTCACATTGTTGTTCCCATTCCTCTTCAGATACTCCTATGGATAACCAATCAAGTTCGCTTCCAATAATTTTGGTCAGGTAACGAGATATACCTTGAGCATCGTCAGATTCTTGAGACCTCCTGGAGTTTGAATTCCAAGAAGGCGGTGGAAGTTTCAATAATTCCAATACTTGCAAAAGTTCCTGGAATGACGGACGTTTATAAAGTTGTGGGAAATCCAAAGCTGTAGCAGTGGTAGCGCGTCAGCAATAATTAAGTCAACAAACAGTTTGAAATCATGGGATGAACAACTGACAGTGAATAGGCTTGTTGCCGTTGGTGGCCAGGCCATCTAGTGACTCATTAGAAGGCATGTTGAGTGTAGCAAGTGACCACGATAGTCAAAATTACCAACACACAACTTGCTGGATATAGGTCCGTTTGCAGAAAATGAGAGTTTAGTAGAGAACGATTAATATAACCTTGTTATATTTAAAGATCAGTTTCAAGGGTTATAGAAGTGATAGTGCCTGATCGAGGTAAGAGAACGCAATAACTTAAGTGCTATTTACCCTCCCAGATGGAGTTCTCTCTTATCACCGTCACAAAGCTCTGCTTATCTCAGAACCCCTTTTATACGCGACGGAAGGGTCAGAGAACAGCGATTTTCAAGAGTTTCTGACAAGCCAAAACCACCAATCAATCAGTGGAGAACTTGTTGCTTTTATTAAATTCCGAATGAAAGTGAGCTGTATATAAGTACTGCTGCACTTTTGTACAGTCTCACAAAATCAGACCCGCATCTTGACCAAAGCTTTAATGATTAGATGAAATTTGTATGAGATGAAAGATCTTTGATAGAATTCCCTAGCAACGATCGAAAGAGTGAATGAGAGAGAGGAAGAACAAGAGGAAGAAAAGATTTGCTGAAATGCTTCTGCTTTCTGACAAAGTGTGGGTCGTTTAATCCCTTTTCAGTTAAACCTTACTGTTTCCCTAGTGCCTACTCCGTACTTTGATCGAATATCTGACCGAAAGATCCAGATCTTTCGATTGGCCGGTAGTTCACCGAAATCTCTGGTGCAGCAAAGTTTCTCTCCACGTAAGCGAAGCAACAGATAAGAACTTGACCACCTCAATACTTATTAACAAAAATCAAAAGAATGTCAGAATTCAAATTGTGATACTAAATAGAAACTTAGACAAGATATCATTCCCAAATTTGGGGATACAGCGTGTTTCGCTAATCCAAGCCTCTGAAACGTGTGAATCCCTACAGGACACTAAACAAGCTTGAGGAAAGTCCCTTATCTCTTGGAAATCAAGTTCGCAGGCTCGTCTACCTGTCAATGATTGAAGCACCTGGGGATGATACTCACATAGTTCATTAAGGCTGTCCAAAGTGATATGTTATAAATTGGACTGGTAACGAATAGATGAAGATGCTCATAAGTAGTGGTAAGCACAGCAATAGAGACATGATGGAACAATGATATCGCGGTTCGAAGATGACTAATCACACACGGGTATATTGAGTCAGCCCTGGAGTCACGAGATATGTGGCTGAAATTGCCCAATTGGTTCAAATGACTTGACATCACTTGAACGATATTTGATCTTTAGAACAAAATCTAGACTACCCGTGGACAAGGGAAGAATTCACATTGAGAGATATCAATTGGTTCCCCTTAGCCATACTCGCTAGAACTCATCATGATCGAGGGAATATTCTTTGCTCGTTTCCTTCCCCAGAAAGGTGCATGCATACATGTATCTTCCTTCAATACATACATTCACTAATATCTTTACCAGGTACCAAGGTCGTTCATCAAAGTCCTCCAGGATGTATTGTCTCAGAACCTGATGTAGATAAACCACGTCTGTTCGACTTTGAAAAGCTGGCCGAATATATCATTCCCCGTCAAGCATTTTGTAATCGTCATGTTACAGTATGTGATCCTGAGAACAAACATCGCATTTTAGGCCATCCAGTTTGTATCAAGAATGAAAAATATGAACGAAATGAATTCATGTTCAATTTCTGCATTGTGACGAGAGTCGAGGTGGATAAGATTCCTTATGAAGCTGTGGTTAAACGTTTGGCATCAACATTTACGGAAATGGAGATTCAGAATGAGTATTTGAGTCAGGAGGGGACCTTTTCATGTCAAGATCGAAGGTCGATAGCTGCATTATTGGAGATTATTAAGGAGGATTTGAATAATTACAATGAGTGCATGATTCCTGTTGGTATGTATCCTACGGGCCACCTACGTTTATGAGGCCTGTGAACTAACAATACATGTAGATGATGCAAACACTATTAACATGAAGCTTTTCCCCATCCACAGACATCCACCCCCTATAAAAGCATGGCAAGTCCCAATCTCCAAGATCAAATTTGCCGAAATCGTCGACGATACCTGGGATCTCACCATGAGGAAAGTAATCAAGCACATTGACGGCATCAAAGACGTCCGAAGAATCGCCCACGACGCAAATGTTGCCATGGATCTCACCAAAATAGCCTTGCAGCATCTTCTCTACTATGATTCCATTCTTATACTCGATATTTTTCTCTTTAGCAATATTTATGCGCCTACATCTGAGATGAACGACTTCATAGCTGATAAAGATGACATGCAAGATGAATGTGCAAATTACGTCTACATCAACGGTCCTCGCCTCGCAAATTTCCTACTCTGTCGACTCTTCACCACTCTTTGTACCTCAAGAACGCTCAAGGAATGGCTCAAACTACACATGGATCAAGGTCTTAACGTCCTCAATTATATCGATGTTCGTCGTTTCATCCAATTCGGTGTCATAAAAGGTCTCATCTATCGCGTACATAGGTACGCAGTGTCTTCTATGTATTTATCATCGATCGCCTCTAGACAAGCAATACACATGGATAGAAGAGGTGATGCACTGCGGAAATATACTGATGGGTGCCATTGTTTTGATCAAATAACCACGGTGCTGAATATTGGAGAAGCGAAAATCATGGAACGACTGCGCAAATTTCCAAAGGGGGACGTGGAGGTTATTTATCGATGAGGCCGTTTGGATATTCCGATTATTTTACATTCAACACACTGAAAGTCGAATTAATCATACGTAACCTGGTGGTCAAAACATCTCCTCAAACATTGCCTTCGAAATTGACCTCCACCCAATGGTGCAATAATCTGCCACAGGAAAAGCGCAAATCCTCCTTACCAAAATGTCCACACTTACTCAGACGATCTAGCCGAATCCAGAGGTCATTTTCCCCACAGTACTCCCAAGCAAAGTATCTCGCTTGATCATCGTTGAATCGTCCACAGTATACAAGGGACGAAAGCATTAATGAGATGAAAGATCACCGCCACAAATAACTAGTGCATGAGATTCAGTTGCGCTATATCATTATCACCATTTCCTGTGTCATTGTGCCCGACGATACGGAACAAGTCATGTCTCAATCCTATACAGTAGTTGTCCAAGAAGTTTCCTCAATACAGAATCAGAAGACCTATTTACATTAATCTGCTGATGTTTCGGCAAGGGGTGAAGATTGGATGAAAGAATACTCTACGCTGGGCAATGAAAAGAGGAAGGGAGCCACCACCGAGGACAGCTAAACGAGATTGAGGATACAGTCTTTCCACAGGAAATGACAACGAAATCGTCCGATGAACCACGCAGCAGGTACACGCACAATTTCGAACGCTGCCAATTACGCGAATATCTCATAACTACCATCTATCTATTAAACTCACTCCCAAATCATATCACCACACAGAAACTATCACACAATAATAGTATCCTATTCTGATCTATCCTGCTCTGTAACTGTAACATATTACTCTCCCAACAATGTAGTTGATCATATCTATATCTACCTACCCAGCGATACGAACCCCACAACCAAAATGTCAATACAAAACACAATCTCAGAACCAAACCCTTCCCTTCCCTTTCCACCACAATATGCAATATGCCTACCTACGTATACCTATCACGAAATCAAGTATCAAATCCAAGTTTCCACACCAACAAAATGAAGAAATTCATAGCCCAGCCCAGACTCTAGCATGGTTCAGCACAGTTCAGTTATACATATATAGGTATATACAAATATATAACCATAGCCGCGCGCCGACAATCCCTATTTACCTACCGGTACCTACAAGGCAGTACACCTCACCTCCTCTATACCTCCCCCATAGTGCGCTGTGCATACCTAACCTCTCCACAATTCAATACCAATACAATTGGTACATCACCCCATCAATTAATTCCACAATCCCACAATACCTATACCGTATCCATTCATCCACCCATCCATCAATTCTATAATTCGACAAACAAGCAAGCAAGCAGGTAAATAAGCGCCAACAACTTCGCGCAAAAATCCCATCTTCAACCCCACTACCTAGGTAGTTCTTAATTCTTTTCTATTTCAAGCCATAACAAAAAATAGAACCGAGCTATTCATTCCTCATTGGCTCATCATATAACGTGATGTGATTGAATATCTCGCCTATCTGTGAACGTCGCATGCATTGCATGGTTTCTATAATTAGGTGACTACCGGGGTTTATTATTGGGACTTTATCAAGATTTATGATACTTGCAAATTGAGAATAGCGGAAAATGGCAATGTACTTCATGTGAACGTGTGGAGATGGAAGGAAGGAACTCATGAGGATGGAATCTACGGAAATCTAAGAAGTAAATATAGTATAGATTTTGAAATTTGTAGAAGTATGTTAGAATCCACAATCATATATAATATCCACAGGGCGAAGAGAAAACATTTCCTTCTCGCGCCGCAACGCCTTACAGCAAGGGTATCAAAAAAAAAAAAGAAAAGACAAAATATAAAACAGCCTCCCAAATCCCCCTTGCGTCGTTAATTACGTTCTCGTTTTCGTTCTCATTTTCGTACAAGTTATGCCATTGGGCCCATTGAGAGATGGAGACATGAGTAAAAGGAGGTTGGGCAATACCTAGCTGCATCAAATGTTCCAATGTTCTGGAGACATTAACGTCGGCGGAGATAATATGTTCTGTGTGAGTGAAGTCCGCCAATTGAAGCATTGTCGTCTTCTTTAAAACTACATTCAGAAGAATGGTATTGCGAATTCCTCGAGACAATCTTGTAGTTTGTGACACCAGAAATCTAGCATATACGCTAGAGCCATCATGAAGCTCGCAGCAAAATGGCAAACTTCCAAAGCGGCCTGTCTGATGGGACATAGTGATTGAAGATAGACGCATTGATGTTCCTAAAATAAAGCATCATTTTCATACCGAGATGCTGACACCCTTTCGTGAATCAGCTTCATCAACACGGAAGCCAAACACCATCCTGAATAAATCTCTCAAAAATGTGTATTGTCCAGTCCTCATCATCCAACTAACACTCTTAGCGAGATCATTAGCTGAGACTTTCTTTCCTGGCGGAGGTAATGAGCTTGTATTTCTGAAGGTAGGGTCGCTCAGTACCAGGTTTCGATATGATGAAAGTAGATTTGTTTGCGCTGGCGATGGACCAAAGGTACCAGTCGGCAGTGCCTTGACAAAATTTTGAAGTGTCAAGGGTGAACCTTTGGACGAGATAGCATTTCTTGAATATCCCACATTCATTGAAGCTTTCAAGATAAGTATCTTGAGTCTTGTCAAGTTTAGATCCTCCGGTTGGTTTCCATTTGTTACTGTGCTAGCACCACTTTCTTGAGAATATCCTGAAAGTGAAGATGCAGCAGATGACCATCGCGGTGGTCTTTCTGAACCTAAAACCATAATATTTGGAATATTTGGCGAGTTCTCCTCTGGTGTGATGGGGGTATCTTCAAAGTCGGTTGTTGGGGTTTCAGGAAGGATAACATATCTTGTAGGTGTATGCTCTTCAGGATTCTCTGATAGCGAAGCTAGACTACTAGACTTGGTATGTGAAGAGCGAGACATTTGATCGGATGATGTTCTGAAAGTCGTTTGGGATGGGCGAGGTGTACCCCTCTCAGGACGAACTTGTGTCCAACCTTCTCGGAAAAGATCACATAATTCCCAGCAAGCTTGAACAGCAGACCCAAGAAGCTCTTCATCTGCCATTTTCCCTTCCCTTTTGTTTTGTCGAAGACTGAAAAGCATTTCAGCAAGACTCCAACAAGCTCGGAGAAGAGAATCTGTCTCTTCGGCAAGTTCACTTCTTTGTTTCATGAGACGATGGCATAGCGTTATGTAAAAATCTAGAGTTCTTTCTCGAAATGCTTCAGGTAAATTGCGATCGTGCGTATTATATAAGTGGTTGTTCAATTCGAAACTGACCCTCAATACTGAATCGGCTACCTCATCTTTCTTTTGGCGCACATCAAATAGAGACTGGCAAAAATCCCTACACAGATCGAGGGTTGGCCTGACATGGAACTCGTGATCTTCGTCGCGGCTATCGTATAATTTCTTGCAAAGCTTCCAACAACATTTCCAAGCTTTTTCGTGAGCATCCCCGGATCCGGAAAAGCTAAATATCCTTTCACGGTGAATAGAGCTAAGACTAGCCAACGTATTGCAGAGTGTCCAACATTCATTAAGCGCCGTCTTCAAGGCCGATACTTCCTCATCCGCATTATGAACTGTACGAGCATCGAAATCGTCTTCCGAAAAATCCTTGGGAAGTTCTTCGGGAATCCCTACATCTAGTGAGTAAGGAATATTTGTATCTTCTTCTTCAGTTATACCTTCAAGACTGCTCGGCCGAGATGGTCTTCTCTCTTCCGAAAATGATTCGACTTCTTGACGAGTTTGCGCTCGAGGTGTTTGATTCTCCAGACCGAATTTCATCGGCTTTATGTCTGTAGAGATCGGTGGAGGTGAAACTGGACCTGGCTCGATAGACTATATCGTTGTTAGCTTAGAAAAGACGTATAATATGATGGGTTTTACCTTATTCGCATGCTTAGCAACCTGGAGAATTTCTGGACTCATTCCTGGGCTATTACGGGGACTCCCACTTGGACTCGTTTTCGGACTGGTCTTCGGGCTTGTCCTTTGATTAAACTTAGGACTGGTGCGAGGGCTACTTCTTGGACTACTTCTTGAACTTCTAGACTGCTGGTATGGAGTTGGCGTGGAACGATCTAAAAGTTCTTTCGCGGATTGTACTGGAGTCGCATCGCTGAATGGCTGTTTTGAATTAGCTGTTGATTCTTCACCATTTAACTCTATTGCTCACAAATTTTGCGTAGCCCTCGGGGGCGTGGATGACCGAGACAGACTCATCTTCGATGGAAGCACGAAACTCTTCTGGTAGATTTGTGCTGAGCCTTTTCAACTGTTTATAGTATCAGCAAAAATCTTTCCAACCGTGGTAGTGTACCAACAGTAATTTGCGAATCGGCTCTGGGTAGATCCTCATGATCCATCGTTTCATCTGCAACTTCATCATCCTCAATATCTGTGGTTGTAGTGCCATTCGAGGTCACTGGCGAAGGCCCCACCATATCACTCATTGGACTGAGTAGGTGCGCGCTGGCAGGAGAGAGGCCGTCCTCGAAAAGAGTTGGTTGGAGATTGGAGCCTGAGTAGTTTCGCGCGGGCCTATATGATATTATTAGCATGGCCAGTTTTTGCAATGGTTCAACATACAGCGACTGGTAATATGGAGATCTTTGAGTTGAAGGAGAACATGGTGAAAGAGAGAAGTCTGTATAGGGAGAGATGGCTGACATGACGTTGACAGGTGAGGCAAGCAATGGACTTTCTACTGCCATTCTCCTGATATTTCGAGGCCCCAATAAAAAGATAAGAAGCTTGCACAATTCATAAAAGTTTGTCTAGGTGGGACCTCGATGCTCAAGTATAAAGAAGAGATGGTAATGCTTACAACGCCAGGTTCTGGGCGGGGTTACCACTCACAGCTTCGGACGTTGCAGTGGATCCGAGAACACTGAGGCTGAATGGAGGAAAGTCTGGCGCGGATCAAGAGTTCCAAGCTCAGGGCTTTGGAACTGAGTTTGGCAGAAGTGTTGGCACCACAAGGAAATATACTTGGATCGTAAAGAGTTTAGTAGAGTGAGTGGATGCGTGTAGCCAAAAATATTCAAAATCAATAAGAAACCTTACACGCTCAGATGCAAAAGAGAGGTAAGATTTTGGAGAATTACTTGTTGATGAACAGGCTAAGGAAAGTGCTGTGCCGCAAAGTCACGTCCTCGGGGAGGATTTTGATATAAAGTGGTACTTTATTATGACTTTCGCGCGTGGACCTGGCATCGGCGGGGGGGGGGGAGTTGATTTTCCTTGTGGGGAAAGATGGAGCGAGGATGTTAAGGATGTTTAGGATGTAAGGTTAATAAGGATGCGAGGACCATTATGTCTACGAAGCAAGTACCTGGCAATAACGTACAGATAAGAGAACTAAGCCTTTTGTTTGAATTATGTTTTCTCTATTCTCGCATCAAGAGTCCTCTACTGACATTATTGTTATTATCGCGAACAGGCCAATAATACAATATACGATAGATGTACCGCTGCCAAAACAAACACAATCTTTGGTCCCTTGTCGCGATGAGTACAAAATCTGCAATGTTGAAGCCGGTCAAGAAATGAACAGAAGAGCACAAATAATAGGCTGATAACACAGTAGTAGGTACCATCCATTATGGCTTTCTGGATGCAAGAAGAAATCAAAGTTGAGCCAATCATATACGTCAATCCATGTCTTTTGATCCTCCCCGCTTGCATATATGCAGACTATAAGCATGACGGGCGCTTACAAGTTTGTTTTCCAGATATACCGGTACTACAGTCTACATACCTGGGTACTTTTGACGGCTTCCATTGTCTTGGGGTAGGCCGAGCATATTTGTATCTACCTGAGATATACAACTGAGTGCTCAACTGACATGTCTAGTGTTGACTCCATTTATCCTGATTGTAACGGAAGGTGGGTAATCTCAATTCGAAACATAAGAAACCACATCAGCATATGTACGATACTGGCTGCTAATCTCATGTCATCACACATTCTGTACATCGGAGAACCGTTTCCTGATTCATATACTAAGTAACACTTTGACGGGAATAAAGTATCTCATCATGTCCCATGTCTCGAAACTCGTAAAGTCACCATGGAAGCATGAAGGGACAGGGAACATCGTCTATTGTCAATGGACAAGAAAAACATTGACAATCAATCCAACAGTTGCAAATCGCGAACCGAACGGCTGGCTCTATCATGACCGCAATAATAGCTTCAATTATACCCAGATTAGGTTCATTGCGAATATCACTGCCAATATTTGAGCACTTCGGGACGAACTAATAAGCATAAGCGTATCCGAGACCACGGGAATGTCATTCAAGTCAGTTAGATGGGTCGGCCGGTCATGATCGCTCAAACAAAATTTACCAGCATGAGCAGAACGGATATCGTCGACTGGCTACACGGAATGGTGTTCTCTATCTGGTGGTCCATTCCGATGATGATTGACAGTATCCTAGTCCTTGTTAATGCCCTCCACGGGTACCTCTGTGGAAAGTTTTCTCTCTTCAAGGCCTTAGATCGATCGATGCAAAATCCCCAACTCCATGTTTGTTTAATTCGACGAGTTTCTCGTAATTTGACGACTTATCAAAATCAAGCAATACGCGTCGGAGTTTGATGCAAGTCTGCACCAACATGACTCCACCGCTTCTAGCCTTATAGAAACGCCAGCTTTTCCCACTCTCTGCATTGCATGAGGTTATAAGAGACTACCCATTGACTATCGCTCTTATAAAAGGGTAAAGTCCTAGCTGGTAGAGTAAGCCTTTGCCGTCGGTGAGTGCTAGAAATTTCTCATTAGTGGCTTGTCAGATTTAAGTGCACTCCACATCAATACAGCCCAAGTCCAATGCGTTGTACGTGCATAATAGAGAACCAGTTCCTTGGGACAACTTCTACCAGGAATGATCAAGTATTATTTGGGCGCCTGATGAACGTCTGATAGTGTTCCCGAAACAAACAACAATGCATGTACGAAAGTATGGTATGGTTATGTTGGAAATAATCCTTGATTGTGAAAATTCGATAATGAGCCGCAAATATTATCTCCCCACTCCTCCGTGTAAAAGTTCAACACCGCTCGCAAATGTTTACTACACACCAATCACCGTTGGGTGTAGCCCTGGAACGCCCACGCCAAAATCTGTAGCATTTGGATCATGATCTCCAATCAACGCCTATACCATCTGCCTCCCTGTCTGCTATGGCATCG